TGTTGTCGGGCTACACATAACCGTTCATTATTACCCAGCTGAGTCCACAACGTTTGATGCTGTTCTGTTATATTCTGAGTACAGCTGCTAGGCATGCTGCCAGTGGACTGAAGCAATTAGGCTTCAGGTTCTTGGTCTAAACGCTTTCTTGCACATTCAATATGTTATTAATTTACATTCCATAAATTCGTTTACCTTTAACCTAGCGTAATAATGCTTTGCTATATCTATTGAGAAATACTGACGTTCTGACAATATAAATATAAATTTTAACTCTTCTGTTAATTGGTAAGAGCGTAACATATTACACGTTTCATTTCGAATGATTTTTTTAGAAGAAGGCGAATTACATAAAAAAAACTTCACTTTAAGAATATATCAACTTTACTAATTCTTAAAACTAAATTGCTGTAGTGTGCAACTCAACGAAATTGGCAATGTCAAGACCCTTTGGATGTTGGCTTGATTTAATTAAATCAGATTCATGATTGCTGCTCAGTTCTCAAGCACGATGTCTCACGCCTTGGCTTGGGCGGTTTGGTCTTCGTTGAGAATAAGTCCCTCACGAGCTTATTAGACCTAGTGTGCTCTTCCGGGGGTAGAGGGTTTTTCCAGATGACCCGCGGGACTGTTGCCACGAGCTAAATTTGTGGTGACGACCGGTGGAAACGCCCTCCTGGGCGTGGAATTCGCCTATCATTCCCACCCTTCCACATGGCTTGGTTTAACCCATTTTAGAATGTTGATTCCTCAAGTAGCAGGAGCTGCCACCGTATGAGAGCTGTCCCACATTCGTCTCTGGCAGACCGTATTAGTACTCATAATGCCGTCTCGTCGTGAGACGCCATTGCCCTTTATGGAGCTTAGACGCCAATTCTGTCATGTCATACTAATCCAGACAGGTTGGTGACACATCTGTGGTGGTTACTTGTTTAAGATCTTTCAGGATATGGAAGCAGTCGATTTTTGATATAGTGACAGTTTGAGAAAATTTCCGCTTTCCTCGCCGTGTAGTTGCGGTCTCTGATGCTCTGGAAGTCTGTGTGTGTTTTTTTAGTCTGGAGAATCGAGACCGGATTTTCAAGTGCAAAGTTCGGTATTGTAGTTTTCGTTTGAGGTCTGACTTGAAGTTTTGCGCATTTCTGGGGGTGTGATTAGGAGTCTGTTGATTCTATATTTTCTCGTTTTGCTGTCTGATGTTGACTTGTTTCTGATGTATCCGCGGTTGGTGGAGGGGTGTCCATGATTTGCGTTTTTCCTACACTGTAGGAGTCCTGTAAATTTCAAGATGTCTTCGGGCAATGACTAGGAAGTTGGGAAGATTCAGGCTTGTCTGTTGTGTTCTTGTATAGTTGAGATGATCAACCCGATGCAAGGGGCAGGTTATGAGTTTGACTGATTTATTTCCGTAATGAGTAGACGTTGTTTTCTGTAGATTGTACTAATTCCCAGCGTACACTCGTATGTCGAACGAATGCAGTGCGTTGTATTCAGCGTTGATGTTGATAAGTTAATTAGGGACGGAGAATATGTATTTTTGCTCCAGGATATCATCATATTCGACAAGGCTTTGATTTCAGTTTTCTTTGACAGTATTTTCTGAACTACTGCTGCGAATCAAAGAATTTTCAATATTCTTTAAAGCTCAAGTAGTGTCAATACTGTTCGAAAATGTAGAAGAATTTCATAATTCTCGGAAGGAAGGCTGCAACTGTTTAAAAGAGATTTGTTCAGAAACTGAAAACATGATCACGGGTAGAAAAAGACCACTCAGAATTTTCGGCTAAGAAACTACAAAGAAGTAAATGAAGTGAATGGAAATACGTGTCTAGGGGCCACCTCACACAAGTTCGAGGAGCCACTAGTTAGGACCGGATAGGAGGATGGGTGGCCCTCATAGCCACACTTCGCGGTGAGGTCTTCGTTTCTCTTCGAGGCTGAGTTAAACCGCAGGGCCGTTGTGCGGCTGGAGTGATTGTGTCAGTGATTGTGTGTGATTGAGGAATCCAGTGAACTCTCAGGGATCGAACCCGCCACATTTCGGCATGTAACGTGGTGCCTCGGCCCACTGCGCTACCACCTGCCTCCATATAAACAGAAATATGTATGTTACTTACAATTAAATTCTAGGTTACGTAGATTCGAATTTTGCGTCATACTAGTTTGTTTTGGTATGCACTCTTCAATAATAACTCATAGCAAGTTCTCAAGGCTAGCCTTCGAGACTGTAACTCAGTGCGCCCGGTCTTCATTTCTTCTAGGGTGGCCTCCATCTTTTTCTGGATGGCCTGCAAAGCGGCGTTTGTATTTGGGTAACGACCCGCCACATTTCCTATGAGAATGGCTCACGTAAATCAGATTGCCATATAAAGCTTATGACTGCGTTAACAGTGACATTTGTTAACGTGTTCTTTGTTATCGAGACTAGTTTGCTGAGTCATAAGTTACGTAACGAGGCCGTATGAACTGAATATATGAATGTTCTTCCAGAGGACATGAATTACAAGTAGAATTTGAGGTTCTCACACCGGAGGTTGGTGGTTCTATCTTGTGGGATGTAGCGCCGTGTAGTCCGTTGAAGGTCGGCAGAAGTTTCTCGGGAGGGTGCCACCTTTATTTTCAGGATCGAGGAGTGGGCCAAGGGGGAAGCCAGCGTGAAGTATGTAGCAACCTGATCCTGATTCTGAAGATGGAAGCGACTTTTTCCTCCGAAACATCGGTTAACTCTCAGCGGAATACATGGAACTTTATCCCAGAGGGTAGAACTCTTCATGAAATACAGTTGTTTGTAAATAAAGTTTTTGGTGTTTTTGACTTGAGAGCTGAAAGTATTTGGTTAAGAAGGATATAGTATGACGAAGAGCTTCGTAATTTATACATGTCATATGAAGTCCCTGGAGTAATGAGACAACCGATGGAGTAGGTGCGCAGATCCAATTTGGAAGACAAGAATCACATCCCACAAGTTCACGGTATATTACAACTTTCGTCTGGTATAAACATGAGGAAAATGATATAAAAATCACTGCATATGTTAAAATAAACAAATGAAGTAACAAACAGCGACACCAATAGAAGCAAAAAATAAGATATACAACCATTAATTGTTCCATGTTTAAAAAAGGATATAAATTAGCATGTAGTAACTATACAGGTATATCATTACTACCGACAGCGTATCAAATTTTAACAAGGATACTAAAAAAGAGAATGGATCCATATATAGAAAAAATAATAGGAGAATATCAATCAGCATTTCAAACCAATAGGTCAACAATAGACAATTTATTCACCCTGAGACAAATAACGGAGGAATGCTGGGAATTTAATACAGATATTTACCTATGCTTCATAGATTTTAAACAAGCATATGATACAATAATAAGGAATTAAGGATTTTAAGAAATTAAGGATGATTATGTCCACTTTTGGTATTCCAACAAAACTAAGTAGAATAATTAATTTAACCAGAAACAGTCAATCAAGTTATAATCCAGAACCATTTAACGGAATGCTTTAAAACAAATCAAGGATTAAAACAGGGGGACAGTTTGGCTACATCACTATTTTTAATCATGACGCTGCACATCCCGCTCCTCTTCCTTCTTCTTGCCACATTTGTATGCCTGTGAGCAGAAAGAAAAGACTGTTGATATACTCAAGTTATTGCAACATTAGCAAGACCATTGTAATTATACATACCATCCCTTCGTCGCCATGAAAGAAATCGCATGATAACTGGAAAGGAAGAAATCATTTCCTAATGGAGGGAAATCCCGGCACTTGCTTGGAGACAGCTATCCTGACTGAAATCTTCGCGGTTTTTATCAGACGCATTCAAAGTGGGGAATTTCGTGTTACTGCATTGTAAATACTACCTTGGATGTGCGAGGTCTTAGGAGAAAGAAGTGTGCCTGAGAAAAGCCTAATGAAAATAAATCAGAAGGCCCCGACTTAAAATATCAGATATCTTGAATGTAGTTTCCCTTAAATTTCCATCAAATGGCTCCTTCCGCTGACAGTCACCATTTATCAGTTGCGGTGATCATACTTACCACACATAAACAGTGTAGTTGAAGAAAGCAAAGTGCAGCAGTATGCATGGCATTTCGCCCATCTAAAGCGAGAGT